AAGCTTGTCACGCTTATGAGAGAATTAGATGAGATAATACAGCATGCTTAATTCAGGGTTGGCATAGAAAATGCTCAATAATTAATAAATATTTAACAGTAATATCTTTCCTGGGGAAAAGTATACATCAATAGCAGTCTAAATCCGCTCTTATTGTATGCTAAGTAAACAGTGTTTGGATACTTGTTAGATTTTTTTATAGCTTGGATGTCATCTTACAAAGGTTTTTCTTGAGTTGTGGCTGGAAAGCACAAACTTATGACCCCTTGGAAGACTGGATCCAGAATGGAGCAGGAACAACTTGTAAAGGAGTTATACATTAAATTTAATTAACTTTTTAAAAAGAAAACTATACAAAGGTTTCTTCTTTGCCCATGATGGAATGAAATAAACATCAGTAACAATAAAATATATAGAAAATACCTTAATGTTTAGAATTTAAATAGTATACTTCTAAGCAACTCAAGATTCGAAGAAGAAAGTATAATAGAAAATATTTCAGAATGAATGAAAATATTCATCAGAATTTGTAGGATCCATCTAACATACTGCTTAGAGCTAAATTTATAGTCTTAAATGCAGTAGTGATATAACTTTTTGTCTGAAGAAGCTAAAGAGAAACGAAGCACAAATTCAACCCAAAATGAGAAGGAAGAAAATAATAAATCAATAAGATGGAAATCATATAATGGAATCAGTAAAATGGAAAATAAGGAACAGAGAAATTTAACAAGGCTGAAGTTGTTTGCTTGGGAAAGATAAACTTGATGAATCCCATCCAGACTGATTAATAAGAGATATCATAAATTGTCAATGTCAGGAATGAAAAATACCACTAATGATCACTAATATTAAAAAAATAATAACAGCAATAAGCTTAACAATCTTATGGCAATAAACTGAACAACTCTATATGAAAATACAACTGAAACAAGAAAAAGAGTAGTCCTGAAATCTAATAAAGAAATTAGATGTATAAACAAAATCTTCCCACAAGGAAAACTTCAGACTCAGGTGAATTTGATTAACATTTAAGGAGAAACAAGCACCTTTTTAAGTAAACATTTTCTGAAAACACAGGAGGAAGAAATGCTTCTCAAATAATTTCATGGGACTAAGTTAACCCTGTTATCAAAACCACACATAGCACATTTGAAAATCAAGCAGACAATTCAATAGAGGCAAAATAAATGGAAAAAATATATAGATCAATGCAAAAAATGCATTTACAAAATTCTCCATGTGTTCATGATTTTAAAAAATACTGTCAAAAAATAGGAATAGACACACATGTGTAAATACCAAATAGTTTCCCTGGTGTGAATAATCTGCAACAATGCATAAGAGTCTACTAAGATTACTGACATGTAGAAATGGGAAGAAAGGAGCTAAAGGTGTAGGGAAGGTGGGATGGGTAGGGGAAGAGTAAAAAGGGAAAAGAAAAAAATGTGAGAGAATGAAAAGATGAAAATAAAGTGTTTGTAGATGGGGAGGGGAGGAGGGGGTGAAGGGAGGGCAGAGGTAAGGGGAAAAAATGAGGATCAAGACTTGTCATGTAGAGGTACAAGATCCCAACAATGAATGTAACTACTGTATCCCTAAAATGTACCAATAAACTCAATTAAAGCTGAAAAAAAAGTAGGAATAGAGAATATCCTCAATCTTAGTAGGAACATAGTGAACACTTTAGCCTATGGTTGATAATAAAGCAAGAGCTATCTACTCCCATCACTTTTTAGTATATGTTTTGTGTAAATACCGAATAGTTTCCCTGGTGTGAATAATCTGCAACAATGCATAAGATTCTAATAAGATTACTGACATGTAGAAATGGGAAGAAAGGAGCTAAAGGTGTAGGGAAGGTGGGATGGGTAGGGGAAGAGTAAAAAGGGAAAAGAAAAAAATGTGAGAGAATGAAAAGATGAAAATAAAGTGTTTGTAGATGGGGAGGGGAGGAGGGGGTGAAGGGAGGGCAGAGGTAAGGGGAAAAAATGAGGATCAAGACTTGTCATGTAGAGGTACAAGATCCCAACAATGAATGTAACTACTGTATCCCTAAAATGTACCAATAAACTCAATTAAAGCTGAAAAAAAAAGTAGGAATAGAGAATATCCTCAATCTTAGTAGGAACATAGTGAACACTTTAGCCTATGGTTGATAATAAAGCAAGAGCTATCTACTCCCATCACTTTTTAGTATATGTTAAAGGCCCCAAGACTAATGCAGTAATGCAAGAAAAAGAAATTAAACCTATAAAGGTTGAAAAGCAGAAATAAAATAATCTACCTACTGAGGACATGAATATTTATGTACAAGATTCTCAGGAATATATAAACCAGCTGCTGTAACTCATGACTGAATTAATCAGTCACAGGAAAAAAGGTCTATGTACAAAAATCATATTTCTATAAACTATTAGCAAATGGCCAAGAAATTAGATTCTAAAATTCATTGTCAGTTGTGTGGGGGGAAAAAAACGAAATACTTAGAAATAATTGAACAAAAATTTGTAAGGCTTGTGAAATACAAATTGTAAAAAACATTATGAAAGAAACTAGACAAGGTCTAAATAAATGGGAATATATCTCATGTGAGTGGATTGGAAGACTCACTATTGTTCTCACAAAATTGATTTTTAGATTCAATTTAACATAGCCAATAAATTTCTCAGTAACTTTTTCAAATAGAAAATGATAAATCTTAAAATCTATAAAAAAGTAAAGTTCAAAGAAAGCTTCAACAAAGCCAAAGTTGAAAAGTTTATCTAGATTTGAGACTTACTGTTAATCTATGGTAATCAAAACAGAGTATTATTGGGACAAGAATGAGCAAATGTATTGCTCAAAAAATGTATCAAGGGAGACTCCAGCAGCATGTGCAATAAATGTATAATAAAGAAGTAAAGTCCAAACAAACCTTGAACAAAGCCAAAGTTGAAAAGTTTCTTTACCTAGTTTTGAGACTTACTGTTAATCTGTCATAATCAAAACAGTATTATTGAGATAGTGAGCAAATGTACTGTTCAAAAAATGGATCAAGGGAGACTCCAGCAACCTGTGCACCCACACACTTGTCCTTTGAATGTGGTTTGTCTGCCAACAGTTATGCATTGATAGCTCACTGGTAGCTTGATCATTAGTGTCGCGATGTTAGGAAATAGTGTGGACCTTAAAAGATTGCCCCATGGTCATTTAAGGTTCTACCTTCAGAAGAGGTTAAGATGATCCTTGTGGGATTTTTAGTTAGTTCTTGCAAGAGTAAGCTGTTCTGAGAGTTAGCCCAGCCTTGGAATCATCCTCTGGCATCCTGTTTCAAGACATGATCTCTTCCTCCCACACATGCTTCCAACATTGTGATACCATTCTCCACGGGGTCCTAATCACAGCCAAGCTAATATTAGCACTATGCCCTTAAGCCTCAGTAACTGTAAGCTCATAAAGTTCTTTTCATTACAAAGTTACCAACCTCAGATATTTCTTTATAATAATAGGAGATGAATTAATACCAACATGATCAATTGATTTTCAGCAAGGTGATATGGCATTTCAGTGAGGAAAGGAGAGGCTTTAATAAATGGTTCTGGGAAAAATTGATAAACATTACATGGAGAAAATAAATTCACTACTGTCAGCAACACACAGAAACTAATTTAGGATGGGTCATAGACTAAAAGTAAAAATAGCCTATAAAAATCTAGAAGGAAAAACAAGAAAGTATTTTTGCACTAGGAAAAGATTTTTAAGGATGCAGAAAGCAGTAGTATAAATAATTGAAACTTCTGCTTTTGAAAATGAAAATGTATACTAATCAAAAACATATCTACATGAGGGCCGGGGATTTAGCTCAGCAATGCCACTGCCTGCTTCACAAGCACAAGGACCTAAGTTCAGTCCCTGGTACCAAAAAAAAAATCTACATGAGCAAATCTACATAAAGGGCATGAGATTTTTGTACTGTGCTCAATGCTTTTCTCTAAGTTGAAAATTATTTTTAAATAAAAAAAAATTTTTTAAAGTACTATTAAGAGAACAGAGATGAAAAGTTGCAGGGTATTGCTCAATGGTAGAATGCCTGCTTAACAGGAGGCAACATTGCAGAGCTACAAAAAAAAGGTATGTTGACTTCTAAAAATAGCTATACTATAAATATCAATAACAGTATATTTGAAAGAAGTATTTTCTTAGGGGATTGCTAATTGTAAAAAAAATGGCAGTAGAGTACGTTTCAACAACAGTGCTAAAAATTAGGGAAAAATGATTTATTCTCAGATAAAAAGTCAGTTTTTAAGGAAGCCTCTATTCTACAGGATAGCAGCCTGGGACAGGACTGGAGATTTCCAGCCTGCCGCAATACCTGTGAGACCTAAAGGAAGCAGAACTCAATTTGAAGCAACCTAATCTTTGTGATCATGGCTGTGGTCTAATTCTATTAAAGGTGTGCAAATTCATTGTCCTTGGTATCACTGCAGGCTGAGCTGAACAGTGAGCAGTAAACTTGTGTGTTATAATTCCAGGTGGAAGATATGTGGTTAGGAAGTGAAACCGACAGTTAGTGTTTTGTGTCTGTCTCTAAGCAGACTAAGAGCCTATATAAAACGACAGGTGCATTTTTAGGGAAAGAAACCCATAATGTTTTTCTATTTAGTAGGTGACAGTATGTCCCAAGATAACACACGTTTAAGGGGCTGGAACGAACCTGGTTATTAAAAGCTTGCAGTTTCTCGGTTCGTACAAATTGAATTTTTTTCATAGGCTGAAGGACTGTGGAAATCTAGTACAGGGTCCTGAAATAAATTAGCATATTAAGTGAATTTATACATTCAAGCTTGTGAGCGCTTTGAATTTAAGGAAGAAATTTTATTACTTCTTGAAAGAAAATAACAATTCTCAAATTTGGTGTTTGAACTCTTTGTTGGAAATCTATGTCATTTTGATGATTATTCAAAGAAGTGGTTATTAAATTCATGGGAATTGTTCATCTGTCCTCTCTCTTTTTGCAGAATTACTGATTTAGGCAACATTAAAAGAAGACTTTATTTATCAACAGTCCATAAGGAACTGTCCTCAACCCCTCTTCATGCAAAAATCCCACTCTTCATGATCAAGCGTAAAATTGTAAGTATCACATGAATGAATGTTGCATAAAGTATTAAATTTAAGACAGCATATATTAATTATGGGCTGAATTGTGCATGAGGCACCTTATTAAGTACCATGGTGTCATAAAAAGTAAGTAAAATCCTCTCACTTGAAATCTCCCAGGTGAATGAATATTATTATTTAAACATTTATAATGTCACCAAAACTGTGATAGGAAACACCATAGAGAGAGAAGGTACTGTTGGGATGTTGAAAGGGAAATAAATTCATCTGATTGCCAGATGAAGAAGAGTTTCGTGAAGGAGATAGCACTTAGCATGGACTTGGAAGGATGATAAGATTTCAGTAAGGAGATGGCAAGCTGAGCATCCCAAGCAAGGAACAGTGTGGGCAAAATCTTGAAGGCCAAATCTTCCTTTTTTTCATTGCTGAGACAAAATACTCAACACCCAAAGTTAAAGGAAGAAGGTTTCAGTTCAGTATCAGCTGGCCCCAAGACAGGGTGGCATGGCAGACAGGCATCACAGAGGAGAAACAGTTCATGGTGGGCAGAAGGTTGCAAGAAACAAGACAAGCCTCTTTCTGTCCCTTGTATCTTATCCACACTACCTGCTTTAAGGATAGTCACACCCTTAATCCTAGCATTGTACCATGTATCAATCCCAGCATCACGCACTCTAGATCCAGCCACCTCCGAAAAAGCCCTACCTATGACCACATGAGGCTGTGGGGGGACATCTAGACACAGTCATAGCAGCTAGGAAGTACTACGTCTTCAGAGAATAGAGGACAACGGAACCACTGTTGCCAGATGAAGAACGGAAACGTCCGTCCTGCAGCACAACAGCCTGGTACAGGTTGTGCTATTTTAAGCGGTGTGTAACCTCCAAAGGCCAGAGTTGACTGACTAGTGCTTTTCGAACTGCAGTCATTTCCGCATGGCTGTCAGTTCCGTGTTTGACCTCTGCCTGCTGTAGTAGATACTTAACACTTTATTGTAAATTGACTTGCTCCTTTTGGATTGAATTTGTTTTAGAAGAAAGCTATACATCACATCACACTTGCAGGTGGAAAACATGCACTAATTAAAAAGGAAGAAAATAAAAATTCCATTTATTTGTGCATTTCCGATTTTTTCTCAGGAATTTATCTTTAGGGTTTTTCCATTGTGTCTGGAAAAATATCTAGTGGATAACTTTTTTAAAAATTGATTTATTAAAATATTTCAGCTCTAACAATAAGAAGAAATATATAAAATAAAAAAAACATACTGAAAAGAAAACAATATTTTAATATCTAGTTAGATAGTTTCTTCAGAGGCCCTGTTTTGAGGTCTTTTCTTTTCACAAAGAGTTTATCAAGGATTAGATACGTGTAGAAGTGTTCACCCTGACATAATTAGAAGAACTGAAAGGAAACTGATGAAAGGGACAATCTTATCCTGTGATCTAGGGTTATTTGGTGCCATCTAAAGTCATTTCACAAATGGTACATTTTCCACGCTTTGGAAACCTCTGTAATAGAGAAAAGTAGCTCATTAAAGTTTTGGACTCGGGAAGGAACACACAGATTATTCAGATAGCGATACTTGCAGTGACTTGGAGGGCTAAAAAGTGAAGATGAAGAGACCGGAATAGGGCCAGTGACTGCTCAGCGATAGCAGTAAGGAACGGATGTGAACCAGCGCACTAACACGTGGCTGTACACAGAGCTTTGCCATGCACTCGGTGCGTACTGCAAGAGCAGACTGGGCGCAGGTACTCACTAGAGCATGTGATTTGGGCTCTGGCCTCATGCTGTATTTTTGTTAAGTATATAGCACATTAACATCACGAAGGGAGTCAGAATGCAGGATCTGAGTTCTGACTCTTACTCCTATACAAGTTCGTTTGTTCGTTTCCTCATCTGTAAGATGCAGATAATACGAAGGGTACACACCGTTAATATTGTTGTGAGATTTGCCTGAGTTAAGAAACTGGCGGCTTTTGGAGCAGTGCCCAGCATAGGGTAAGTGTGAGGTGAGGATCATATTTACTATTTACTCTTTGGACTCTCCTCCTTCCTGGCAGTCTCCAGTTTCCCCTTGGTGGATGAGATGTTTGAGGAACAGCTCATTGCTGCTGTTCACAATTTAATAACCTTCATAATTCCTCCACCCTTCACTCCAGTCACCTGTTTCCTTGCCTGTCTCCCTCATCCAAGCATGTCTTATTGTGCTTTTATCATCAGTCCCTATTGGTACACAGCGCACACTGAATACTCAATAAGCATTTGCTGAACAAATTGGCATGTTTTAATTTAACAGCAGACAGAGAAGTTAAAATAATGACTTTTTCATGGCCAAATTGGATAAGCTTTCTTACTGTGCTTGGTGAGTCCACAAATGTCCAAGAATATTCATACAAATATTAAGAAAAATTTGCTTTCGGGCTAGGGATTTAGTTCAATGGCACTGCGCCTACCTTGCAAGCACAAGATCCTGAGTTCGATCCCCTGGCCTGGGGGAGGACTCGCTGTCATTTCTGTTTCCTCCCAGTCCAACACACATCCTAGCACAGTATCTTTCCTTTCCACTGCTAATACATGCTATCCCCAGTGATCCCTACTGAAGTAACACAAAGTTATGTTTTGTGGGCAGTTTTTACAGAGAGTAACAAAGGGACCAAGAGCACCCACCCACCCCATAGCCATCCCAAGGCCTCCCTGGCACCAGCATGACTCTGGACCCCAGTGCTCTACTTTTTACCAAAGCAGTCTCCATTTCTTTCTGTTCATTAGAGACTGGCAGATGTCTCGGTGGGAGTGATAAACCTCAAAATAACATTCTAAAAAGATGTCAGCTAACATTTATCAATCAGAAGATTTCATATGAAATTCCCGATTTCTGATCTCTTTTGAAGAAATTCACAATCTGTCCACATTGAGCCTGCTTTCTTGCACAGCCAGCAGCCAGCTTGAGCCATGTGGCAGCTGCACACATTGAGGGAAGTCGCATGCTGTCCTGTGACTAGGCCCCTCCCCACTGACAGGGCCTGCCCGCCCATGGTGTCTCTGGGCCCCTAGGTAGTCGGTCTGTAACCCCTGATTCACAAGGTCATTGCCAAATTATCCGCTTTTCCTTGTTTGTCTGTTTATTTATTTTTCTTGATTTTGGGGCAGTTTTCTCGCCTAAGCCTTGAGGTAACCAGAGGCAACAAATGAAATTAATATGCTTACAGCCTACCACTGTGAGTATTTATATATAGGCTGCTTTTAGTTCCAGTCATCTTTAAATGTTAACCTTTCAATTTTTTTCTTAATTATGAATAGTCACTTTAATATTTAAGTTATAACAACTTACATTTTTACTTTGAGTTTTCAATGGCAAGAGCAATTCTACAAATTAATAGCCACTGAATTAAAAGTAGAAGTACTCACTTAATCCATACTCACTGGTATCAATTTTTCTTCTTTAATATAACTTCATTTGGTTGGTGATGATGTCAGATGGACAGCAGTATCTTGACATCATTACATATATAAATGTGCAATAAATTTAATTGCATTTAAATGGGAAGTTCAGTCATGAGATACCATTCATTGGAGACATAACAAAGTGATATAATAAATTGTAATACCCAGATCTCTTCATAACTGTTACCATTCACATACCCAGTGTTTGTCGTTTAAATGGATCAAACTACTTTTCAGGAGTAGCACCTTCTTTGACCACAACTCTGATGGTATGTTAAAGTTTTTCTTATAAACCAGAGGCCTGGAATAATGTCTTTAAACCTTTTTCTCCAAGATCTTGTATGTCATTCTCAAAGATCCTGTTTTCCACACAGCCAGTAATTTGGAAATTTGTGGTTTTCAGCAGTATAATTTCTTCAGTGTTGAGTGAGAGGGAAATAGAGAAGGCAGATTTATTCAGATACAAGATCATTTAGAAATGCACACAAAGTAACAATTAAAGAATGTCTTTTAATAAAATAATCTTACCCTGGAATCCACCATAATGTTTACGGTACCTACTTGAGGGTTGTGTGTGCTTCTATTCATCTGTATGAATATAATTTTTAGGTATCTGTTTTTCTCCCCCTGTCCACCTCATATAGTTGTTGTCTAATATGGATACTGAAGATACCTGAGGAAGGGAGAACTTCTCCATGACTTCCTCGCTGCTCTTGAATGCTTCAGGAGGCACAGTTAATTCAGGGGAAATTTGTTGAAAAGCAGCTCATTACCCAGCTTTGGGGTCACCCTATTTTCAAATCGTGAGCAGGCAAGGTACTGTTGGGTTGCAGTGTGGCACCAGAGCTAGATTGTTGGCCTTCGAATTCTAGTTCTGTGGCTTCTTGACTGCAGGCCCTTGGGCAAGTCAGCTGATCTGTGTTCCAGTCTCCTCCTCAGTCAGGGACAGTGGGAGAAGCCATGGTCAGGATTGAATGAGTCATGACTTTGTTACAATACCAAGCTCATATCAAATGCTCAGTTAATAGTAGGTGATATTGTTATTTTACTATTTTTTCTTGGTACAAACTCATGGATCCACTTGTGAATATGGTGTCTGGCATACTTTTTCTCAAAGTTACTAGATAGGCAAAGTGAGAAAACTTGACCTCTAACCAGGAGAAAGTGAATAGAAACAGGCACAAGCATGGTGAGATGCAGAGGTGAAGGGTTTCAAATAATTATCATAATATTCATGAATTTAAAGGAAAATCTGAACATAATGAGAGGACAAATGGGAAATTTAAGTAGAGAATGGAAACTATGAAATCAACCTTCTAAAACTCAAAAGATAAGAGTGAAAGATTTAAAAGATGTGCATAGCATAGGTTAAACACTGGATGGGAGGGTAATAAAATTTGAAGATTATAAACCATTCTGATTAAATACAGAAAGGGACAAACGCCTAAAAAGAAATAAGCAGTGTCTGAGCTCGCTGTGAAACACTATCCAACAGTCTTATGCTGTGTGCAGTTGGAGTGCAAGAAGGCAAACGGGGAGAGTGGGAGAAAAAATTTATATGA